AGTTCAATAATTCACAAACGTGGTCTCAAATGTAAAACGACAATAGTTCAAAATGATTTACAACACTCACTAACTGCTTTCTTGCGTATTCTCCCTAACATATGTAAATAATAACGAATCACCTGGCATAGTAGTTGTACTACTGGTACTCATGTCTCCACAATTTCGGAGACTCGACAGTAGGTTACACTATCAATGATACTAAAAGGTCTCAACTATTACTGGTACTCATTAACATGTTTCCACCATGACTCCTGACACTCAACTATAGGTCTCAATAGGTCACAACAATGATACTAAAAGGTCTCAACTATCATTGTTATGGTACTCAATAACAAATCTTCACAACTATCACTAATAATGATAAGGTCTCAATAACTGCTGATAAATGTGATTTAAAGATACACATTAATGACTCTCAGTAATTGATAACAAACATTAAAAAGTATAAATTATGACACACAGTCAATCGCCATGGATCAATAATACTCAGTTAACGCCAAAAGGTGCCAAATGACTGGTAACACACACAAACAGGTCTTAATTAATGGCAATTGTCAATCTCAAAGGATTAATAATATACTAAATTAATGACAAAAGGTCTCCGATGATTAGCAATAATTAAAAAATTGCATGCCAATCTACCAGAAAGTACACAACCAGATTATATAGAGCAAAATTATGTGTTCATTAACCCTTTCACAACCACAGCCCACATCTGTTCCCTCATAAAATCTGGGTCATGTATGCAACCAACAACATTTTAATACTTATTGGGGCAAAACAAAGTGTTATTACTGAAAACCCAACGTAGGAGAATAAGAGACATTTCCGCCGGATGTCATCCTTTCTTCTGGGGGGTAAGTTCCTCTGGTCGTGAAAGGGTTAACTGGCAGTAAGCAGTTGTCTGCATATGGCTGCTAGTGATGTAACAATTTGTAACAGAAGATGTGTTTCTTCCTGCTCCCTGGCCCTGATCACAAGCCTAGCGCTGTTGATGTTACAGAGTTACACAGTGTTATAGTAACTTTTCCCAACTGGCAACCAGACCATGGTTAAACCTTCTAAGAGGCAGATCACAAATGTGAAGAAGAAGAAAACAATGTGGGAATGTAAAAAAAAAACTAAAGTAATAATTACTGTTATTCCCCCCCCCCCCCTCTCTTTAAAACACACAATCACTTCCTTCTGCTTCAGCAATTCAAGTGCCAGGGGTTCACTGCTGCAGATATCACCAGCCTCCATTCATCTTTGTGTGTCTGGCCTTCTCTTTCCAGTTGGTGACTCTAAGTGTTTGTAGGTCTGTCTGTGTATCATCTCTCCATCGTCTTCTGGGTCTGCCTCATGGTCTACTCCCATTCAACACATTTGCATACAGTTTTTTTTTTTTTTTTGGGTTGTCTCTGCTATTTGCGATTCTGTATACCCTCAACCATTACAATCTATTAGCTCTTACGATTCCAATAATTACACGTGATTTAAACAGACACAGACATACCATAGACGGACAGACGTGTAAACTGAAAATCTAAGCCTTACTATATATCAAACTGTTCGCAAAAAATAAATATTAAAACTACAGATTACGTAGTTAAAACGCAGATGTTAAATAATCATGCACTGCAGTGTGGTTGATCATGTCCCTCCAGACCTACCAATTTCTTTGTTCTTAAATAAGTTCCCATCACGCAATTCTGTCAAGCCACCTAACCGTAGCCCCTCTAATTAAAGTAATTTCCCCGTGCTACAAAAATTCCTGCGTGTCTGGTATTGAGCCAAACACTGGGCTACAATAATTCTCGTCTCTATGATCCTGGGTCTAAATGGAAAGCAGAGCACAGAATCTGCTGCACTCACACATAAAAACTGCCAGTTACAGCCCGCATCTACCATTTCTGCTATGTTACTGCGATTTTATTGTTGCCCATGAGCAAAAAACAAGAAGTCTATAACCTTATAGAGGATTCGAACCTTGGTCTTTGCATGAGAGCCCTGTGTTCTTGACTGTTCAGCCAACACACGAGTCACCAACCACAAAATGAAAGCTGTACCTGGTGACTAAGGAGGCTTGATAAAAGGTTGGCTATCTAACAATATGGTAGGAAACTTTAGCTATAAAATGTAAGTAACTGTATGTCTTCAAACGGCTTGGTGTCATTTGGCTGAGGGGTTATTATCATTTGGAAGCTGAAAGGAGAAGGAAGAAGAGGAGGAAGAGTAAAAGAAGCAGGAAGAAGAGAAAAAAGTAGGAGGAGAAGAACAAGAAGGATTAAGAACAACAACAAAATGAAGAGCAACAGTATGTAGTAGTAATCTTCACAAAACTATCCTGTTTAACCCTCAGAGTTACTGTCGGGATATAACGTGATCACTGAGTTTTCAGAGCATATACCTGTTATTTTGTCATTTGTGCTATTTTTTATATAAGACAATCTGTATTAATATTTTAAATATGGCTTTGATTTGGGTTGTGATTAAGAAAGAAACTGTACCAAGAATATTTAGATAATCTTGTCAACATTGTGTCACTAGAATAGTGGATTTAATATGCTCTTGTAAAATAGTTGAATATCCTCGTCGATTTTATCTTTAGCAGAAACTACTTCAAAGGCATTCTTTCCCTTCTATATCTGGATATTAGTTCTATTAACTCTTTGAGTCACAAGGAACGCATCATACGTCCATAGGTTCCTACCTAGAAGCCCAATGAACGCATGATGCGCCAATTGTATTCCTTTCTTTACTACCCCCTGGGCCTGTGATGCTAAACCCCCTGGGACTCAAAGAGTTAATAACTTGCTTGAGATTGGGGCTGTCTATGTGTCACAAGTTGTTCCAGCAGGATAGGTAATTTACAGAGATTCAAATAAGTCAGTGAATGGTTTTTTTTGCAGCAGGAAAAGAGCAACGAGAATAAGAAGGATTAAGAAGAGATGTGAATTTACTGGGCTTAGAAATAATTATCTTAAGCAACACTTAACTACTGTAAGCAAAGAGTAAACAATGAAATACAGCGAATAACACAACAATAACAACAACATGTCACTGCATCCAGCAACATTCAACACACACATAAGCACCTTCACCCAAGAACTGTCTTCACATATACCTCTATCTCAAAGTCTGATAGCTTACAGTTTAACCTTACTTACACTTACAATGATTTATAAAATACTCATTACTTGGTAGCTGAAAATGGAGGCTAGGGGCACAAGTGATTTTGGAGGGAGAGGGGGGTACAGAGGAGGAACAAAAGACAAAAACCAGAAGTACAACTGGGGGGAAAACCTTGATTTTCTCAAAACCAGAGAAATGAGTTCCAAATTAGATGATGCTGGTATGATGATGAAAATATGCATTTGAAAAGAACAACAATAAAACCAAACACATGGGGGGAATGTTGTCATATTCACAGTGATGAAGTCCAGCCTGGATGTGGTCTCTTGAGGTGAATTTGTCCATCCTGGAAACTCCTGCCAATGAACATCTAGATGGGGGTGACACCAACTTGAAACTTTCTGACTGTTACAACATTCTTGTCTGCAATAACAGTTATATATATATATATTTGGGGGAAAAAAAGAAACGTGGGATTGTAGGAGGGAGAACAGTAGGACAGATAGAGACCCTGTGAGAAAGATTGTTCTTCTATTAAGAAGAGGAGAAAGAAGATGAGACAGAAATGTAAGGAAGATGAGAAGATAAGGAAAATGAAAAAAGGGAGGACTAAGGGATGAAATAAATAAATAAATAAAGAAAGAAAGAAAGAAAGAAAGAAAGAAAGAAAGAAAGAAAGAAAGAAAGAAAGAAAGAAAGAAAGAAAGAAAGAAAGAAAGAAAGAAAGAAAGAAAGAGACATGCATGCGCACACGCACGCACGCACGCACACACACACACACACACACACACACACTCACAAAAAGAATACAGAAAGTATGTAACATAGTGATGTGACAAGACAAAGAATTAAAAAATAATAATGTAAACTAAAAGTACACACACAAACCCAAGTCACAAAAAGAATTTAACAGTGTCTCGGATAGACTGTTTTGTTGCACTATCCCCTTTATCCCTGAGAGCCTTCACCACACTCATGTTATTATAAAGCAGCAGATAATAGATCAGATGGATGGATGGATGGACGGACGGACGGACAGACAGACAGACAAGAGATAATGAGATATTTTGTTAGATATACAGACACAGAGTAGAACTGGCCAGGCAAAGACAGCATTTCAGAAGATGAGGAGTTTCTTATGTAATAAATCACTCTCACTAAACATCAGAAGATGAGTACTGAAATGTTACATCGAGCCTGTTCTGTTGTATGGCAGTGAATCTTAGAATGTGAGCAAACAAATTAAGACAAGTTTGGAGGCAACTGAGATGTGATTCTTGAGAAGAATGTTGCGAATACCTTGGACTGCCAGAATAAATAGCAATTATTGCTTGGAAATGGCTAATGAAAGTAGAACTTTATATACAACATTGAAAAGGAGACAAACAAAGTAGCTTGGTTATGTGATGAGAAAAAGAGCATTGGAAAATATTGTCACGACTGGAAAGATCACTGGTAGAAGAGGCAGAGGCAGACCAAGAGAAACGATGGTGGATGGCATAAGACAGTGGCATGGAGGAATGTCATCAGTGGAATTGATTCAGAACACCAAAGTCCAAGATCTGTGGAGATGTGAGAACGCTAACGCCAGCTGGCAAGGTACTTGATGATGATGATGATGAGGATGATGACACACGTACAGACAAGACAGAGATCAGAGATTTTGACAGATACACAGACAGACAAAATGAACTGTATTATCGAAGGGTCACAAATTGGGCACACAGGCTATCTTACATTCGGCCCCTCCAAATGAAATCACAGGCACAGAAAGACAGCGGTGTAAGAAAAGAAGCAACATAGAACTGGACACTGAGATCATGAAAAGACCCACCACGTACCACATGTAATACTAGACACAACTGAGCTTCCCTCCACCTGCCTCAGAAGCTGGCATGGTCCCACTCCAGCTCGTTGCTGACTGGCACCTTCTTGGGAGGGGCGGGCTCCTCATCCTCGGTGCTGTCCCCATAGTCGCCCTGCATGCTGCTCTCTTCATCCTCATCGCTGTCGCTGTCTTCTGGGAAGGTTGGCTTGGCCCCGTCTTCATACTCAGAATGATAACAGTGTGAAGAATGATAACAGTGTGAAGAATGATAACAGTGTGGAGAATGATAACAGTGTGGACAATGATAACAGTGTGGACAATGATAACAGTGTGAAGAATGATAACAGTGTGAAGAATGATAACAGTGTGAAGAATGATCACAGTGTGAAGAATGATAACAGTGTGAAGAATGATATCAGTGTGAATAATGATAACAGTGTGAAGAATGATAACAGTGTGAAGAATGATCACAGTGTGAAGAATGATAACAGAGTGAAGAATGATAACAGTGTGAAGAATGATAACAGTGTAAAGAATGATAACAGTGTGAAGAATGATAACAGTGTGAAGAATGATAAAAGTGTGAAGAATGATAACAGTGTAAAGAATGATAACAATGTAAAGAATGATAAAAGTGTGGAGAATGATAACAGTGTAAAGAATGATATCAGTGTGAAGAATGATAACAGTGTAAAGAATGATAAAAGTGTGGAGAATGATAACAGTGTGAAGAATGATAACAGTGTGAAGAATGATATCAGTGTGAAAAATAATCACAGTGTAAAGAATGATCATAGTGTGAAGAATGATAACAGTGTGAAGAATGATAACAGTGTGAAGAATGATAAAAGTGTAAAGAATGATAAAAGTGTGGAGAATGATAACAGTGTGAAGAATGATAAAAGTGTGGAGAATGATAAAAGTGTAAAGAATGATAACAGTGTAAAGAATGATAACTGTAGAGAATGATAACAGTGTGGTGAATGATAACTGTAAAGAAATGATATCAGTACGAAAAATGATAACAGTGTGGAGAATGATAACAGTGTAAAGAATGATATCAGTGTGAAGAATGATAACAGTGTGGAGAATGATAACAGTGTGAAGAATGTTAACAGTGTGAAGAATGATCATAGTGTGAAGAATGATCCCAGTGTGAAGAATGATCACAGTGTGAAGAATGATCACAGTGTGAAGAATGATCACAGAGTGAAGAATGATCACAGTGTGAAGAATGATCACAGTGTGAAGAATGATCACAGTGTGAAGAATGATAACAGTGTAAAGAATGATAACAGAGTGAAGAATGATAACAGTGTAAAAAATGATAACAGTGTGAAGAAGAATAACAGTGTGAAGAATGTTAACAGTGTGAAGAATGATCACAGTGTGAAGAATAATCACAGAGTGAAGAATGATAACAGTGTGAAGAATGTTAACAGTGTGAAGAATGATCACAGTGTGGAGAATGATACAGTGTGAAGAATGATTACAGTGTGGAGAATGATTACAGTGTGAAGAATGATAACAGTGTGAAGAATGATATCAGTGTGGAGAATGATAACAGTGTAAAGAATGATCATAGTGTGAAGAATGATTACAGTGTGGAGAATGATAACAGTGTAAAGAATGATAACAGTGTAAAGAATGATAATAGTGTGAAGAATGATAACAGTGTGAAGAATGATCACAGTGTAAAGAATGATAACAGTGTGTGAAGAATGATAACAGTGTGAAGAATGATCACAGTGTGGAGAATGATAACAGTGTAAAGAATGATCCTAGTGTGAAGAATGATAACAGTGTGGAGAATGATAACAGTGTAAAGAATGATAACAGTGTAAAGAATGATCATAGTGTGAAGAATGATAACAGTGTGGAGAATGATAACAGTGTAAAGAATGATAACAGTGTGAAGAATGATAACAGTGTGAAAAATGATCACAGTGTAAAGAATGATAACAGTGTAAAGAATGATAACTGTGTGAAGAATGATAACAGTGTGGAGAATGATCACAGTGTGAAGAATGATCACAGTGTGGAGAATTATAACAGTGTGAAAAATGATCACAGTGTGAAGAATGATCACTGTGAAGAATGATAACAGTGTGGAGAATGATAACAGTGTGGAGAATGATAACAGTTTGGAGAATGATAACAGTGTGAAGAATGATAACAGTGTTAAGAATGATCACAGTGTGAAGAATGATCACACTGTGAAAAATGATCACACTGTGAAGAATGATAACAGTGTGGAGAATAAGTAACAACAGCAAACCACAGCACACACACACGTCATAGCCCGAGGAATACCTCCTGCTCCATGGGGTTGATAGTGATGTTCAGAGAGGAGTTGTCCCACTCCATTTCCTGCTTCTCCTCCACCTGCACAACCTGGGTGCGTCGGTGCGCCGCCCGGATGCGGATGACGCCCAGGATGATCATGAACAGCAAAAAGCCCACACACACCACGATGATGGCCACCATGCCAAGATCTGGGGGACAGATGAGGTCAAGGTCAGCCCACACCAGAGACAGTCAGGAGAATGTGATGTGAACAGTATAATAAACAATGGTTTCCCCATGAGGGTTCCAGTACCCCATTTTGGAGAGAACAGAACAGACCCACTGCCCAATAACCAGTACATCACAGGAGGGGCTTATCAAGGGTGTTTCTTTCAAAGTTGGAGTGCATCTGCCTCAGAGGCAAGGAACCAACAGTCTGCATACAAATAAACCAGATCTGTAAAACAGATGTGCATGCAAAATGCAAGTTCTGGGTCAAAACCAAAGTCCAGGAGTGGACAAACAACCAGAACATTCCACCGGAGTTTACAGTAGATGAACGCTAAAAGAAAAAAGAAGATATAAATTCTTGGGATAGAACAAAGAAGATAAGATTAATATATAATAAACTGCTTGCACACAAAAAAAGGGGAGGCAGGGTAGGGGGAGATATGATTAATGTACCCTAAACTATCTGGTAAAGAACAAAGTAGATCAATATTTTAAAAACTGCTTGTACAAAGTAGATCAATATTATATATATAAACTGCTTGTATGGAACAAAGTGGATCAATATTGTATACGCTGCTTGTACGGAACAAAGTAGATCAATATTTTATAAATTGCTTGGTATAGAACAATGTGGATCAATGTTTTATGAACTGCTTGTAAAGAACAAAGTAGATCAATATTTTACAAACTGCTTGTCCAAAACAAAGTAGATCAATCTTTTACAAACTGCTTGTACAAAACAAAGTAGATCAATATTTTCAGAACAAAGTAGATCAATATTTTACAAATTGCTTGTCTGGCATAAAACAGTGTTGAAGCAACAACTATCTGGAACTGAAAGAGTTAATCACATCCAACAACTTCAATGGTAACCCACAGTGCCACAATCCTTTGCTTGCCTTATGAGCACCAATGAGAAAAACACACTGGTAATGCAATAAGTTAAGCAACCACACAATTACTTTTTAACTATGCAACAGTTTGACATTCTTCTTCTTCTTAGCATTCTGTGGCTTTAATCTCTGGTACAATGTCCTGATTGTTTGTCCACTTCTGGACTTTGGTCTATTCCAAAAATTAAGTTTTGTCTGGACATCCCCTTTACAGATCTGGCTTGTGTTCAGACTCTTGGTTCTTTATCTCTAGGGCAGATATTGTCTCTCAGGCCGATATTGTCTCTCAGGCAGATATTGTCTCACGGGCAGATATTGTCTCTCAGGCAGCTATTGTCTCTCAGGCAGATATTGTCTCTCAGGCAGCTATTGTCTCTCAGGCAGCTATTGTCTCTCAGGCAGCTATTGTCTCTCAGGCAGCTATTGTCTCTCGGGCAGCTATTGTCTCTCGGGCAGATATTGTCTCTCGGGCAGATATTGTCTCTCGGGCAGATAATGTCTCTCTGGCAGATATTGTCTCTCAGGCAGCTATTGTCTCTCAGGCAGCTATTGTCTCTCAGGCAGCTATTGTCTCTCAGGCAGCTATTGTCTCTCAGGCAGCTATTGTCTCTCAGGCAGATATTGTCTCTCAGGCAAATATTGTCTCTCAGGCAGCTATTGTCTCTCGGGCAGCTATTGTCTCTCAGGCAGATATTGTCTCTCAGGCAGATATTGTCTCTCAGGCAGCTATTGTCTCTCAGGCAGCTATTGTCTCTCAGGCAGCTATTGTCTCTCAGGCAGCTATTGTCTCTCAGGCAAATATTGTCTCTCAGGCAAATATTGTCTCTCAGGCAAATATTGTCTCTCAGGCAGCTATTGTCTCCCAGGCAGCTATTGTCTCTCAGGCAGCTATTGTCTCTCAGGCAGCTATTGTCTCTCAGGCAGCTATTGTCTCTCAGGCAGCTATTGTCTCTCAGGCAGCTATTGTCTCTCAGGCAGCTATTGTCTCTCAGGCAGATATTGTCTCTCAGGCAGATATTGTCTCTCAGGCAGATAATGTCTCTCAGGCAGCTATTGTCTCTCAGGCAGATATTGTCTCTCAGGCAGCTATTGTCTCTCAGGCAGCTATTGTCTCTCAGGCAGATATTGTCTCTCAGGCAGCTGTTGTCTCTCAGGCAGATATTGTCTCTCAGGCAGATATTGTCTCTCAGGCAGCTATTGTCTCTCAGGCAGCTATTGTCTCTCAGGCAGCTATTGTCTCTCAGGCAAATATTGTCTCTCAGGCAAATATTGTCTCTCAGGCAGATATTGTCTCTCAGGCAGATATTGTCTCTCAGGCAAATATTGTCTCTCAGGCAGCTATTGTCTCTCAGGCAAATATTGTCTCTCAGGCAGCTATTGTCTCTCAGGCAGCTATTGTCTCTCAGGCAAATATTGTCTCTCAGGCAGATATTGTCTCTCAGGCAGCTATTGTCTCTCAGGCAGCTATTGTCTCTCAGGCAGATATTGTCTCTCAGGCAGCTATTGTCTCTCAGGCAGCTATTGTCTCTCAGGCAAATATTGTCTCTCAGGCAAATATTGTCTCTCAGGCAGATATTGTCTCTCAGGCAGATATTTTTTATAAGGCAGATATTGTCTCTCAGGCAGCTATTGTCTCTCAGGCAGATATTGTCTCTCAGGCAGCTATGGTCTCTCAGGCAGCTACCCTTCTATTTCAAAGGAAACATTGATCCTCCCTATGCTGGCTAGGTACTCAGTTGGGAACCTGTATCTAGGATGACCAGCACAAGCCCCGATCCTGGTGCACTACCACATGTGGTTCAATATCCCAGCCTGAGATTACAGGTGAAGGCTTTTCATTTCTGCAGCAACAACGGCAGGACAAATCTGTGTCACGCTTGTTCCACAAAACATGAACAAAGAGCCAAACATGACAAGGAAAACATGAACAAACAGCCAAACATGACCAGGAAAGCATGAACAAACAGCCAAACATGACGAGAAAAGCATGAAGAAACAGCCAAAGATGACTAGGAAAACATGAACAAACAGCCAAAAATGATCAGAAAAGCATGAACAAACATCCAAACATGACAAGGAAAACATGAACAAACAGGAAAACATGAACAAACAGCCAAACGTGGCCAGGGAAACATGAATAAATAGCCAAACATGATCAGGAAAACATGAACAAACAGCCAAACATGTCAAGTAAAACATGAACAAACAGTGAAACATGGCCAGGAAAACATAAACAAACAGCTAGCTGAAAATTGTTAAAGGTGATCTTACTTGAGCTGGCTGCTCCCAGAGCATGCAGACTATCAGGATTGGCTTTCTTCAGGGTCTGTCGCACATTGTGAGCATTATTCTGGGCATTTGCGGCATGTGGGGCAGGGGCAGATTGATGCACTGCGACCAGCTATGGACGAGTGAGTGAGAATTTTAAAAAAATATGGATTTCTGATTGCCGACATAAATGTAAATACAAATTAGTACTAAAACTAAAATATTTAGCTCTAATGTAAAATAATTACTAACAAACTAAAACTATTTATGAACTCATGTGTGGGCAGAATAGAAGAAGCAAAATGGTACAATGGAATGACAAGTGTGGAGTTCTAAGACAACTTCACAAATTTCAGTGAATCAAGAGGTGAGGAAAAGGTGTGATATCAGATCGAACACACAATAAGAAAGCCTGAGAACAGTATAAATAGAATGTCTTTGCACTGGAGCCCACAAAGTTAAAGGAATAAAGGCAGACTAACCACACATACAAAACATGGTAAAGGTTACCAGAAAGTGCACGTTAAGAGGATGACGAGAACACAGGGTGAGCTGCATGTGATAGCAAAGGACAAAACGACTTGATGTGAGTTGACTGACGACTCATGCTCCATTTGGCAATAATGGACCACTGAAGGAGAAGGAGGAGAAGAAGAAGTGGAAGAAGAAGAAGAAGAAGAAGAAGAAGAAGAAGAGAAGAAGAAGAAGAAGAAGAAGAGAAGAAGAAGAAGAAGAAGAAGAGGAAGAAGAAGAGGAGAGAAGAAGAAGAAGAAGAAGAAGAAGAAGAAGAAGAAGAAGAAGAAGAAGAAGAAGAAGAAGAAGGAAGAAGAAGAAGAAGAAGAAGAAGAAGAGGAAGAAGAAGAGGAACAAGAGAAGAAGAAGAAGAAGATTTCAGACAAAAAACAGATCAGAGACAAAGAACAGATTAAAGACCTAAGTCAATTTAGGTGCAGTTAGAGAGGGAGAGGTTTGAATTAGCTTCAGTAATGACCAAACGTACTACAGTGTGTTTATTTTACAAATTTTACCCCCCAAAAAAAAGTAATAAATGTACAGGACTCCCATTTCACAATAAACGGGCACTTGTGCTAGCCCCAAATGTTTAGAACAATCGTAACATGTCTTACACAACCACCTCTGCCAACAACCATGCTACAGCAAAAACAAACGCACAATCATATGTCTAAATCACAACAACCCCCCCCCCCCTCCCCCCCCCCAATTGACTTCACCAAAAAAACCACATTCCAAATGTCTAACACAAACAGCTCATCTCGCAACCATACATCTAAAACTACCATACTAGACCTAACAAATCTATCTCCTTCCTCCAAACATGCTATTCCTAATACAACTCCCTCTTCCTCTCACCTAAATTACCCTAATACAACTCCCTCTTATCTAAACTACACCTAATACAACTTCCTCTTTCTCTCACCTAAACTACGCCTAATACAACTCCCTCTTATCTAAACTACACCTAATACAACTTCCTCTTTCTCTCACCTAAACTATGCCTAATACAACTCCCTCTTCCTCTAACCTAAACTATGCCTAATATAATTCCCTCTTCTTGTCAACTAAACTATGCCTAATATGCCCCTCTTACCTAAACTACACCTAATACAACTCCCTCTCACCTAACTATGCCTAATGCAACTCCCTCTTACCTAAACTACACCTAATACAACTCCCTCTCACCTAAACTATGCCTAATACAACTCCCTCTTTCTCTCACCTAAACTACACGTAATACAACTCCCTCTTACCTAAACTACACCTAATACAACTCCCTCTTACCTAAACTACACCTAAAAAACTTCCTCTCACCTAAACTACACCTAATACAACTCCCTCTTCCTCTCACCTAAACTATGCCTAATACAACTCCATCTTCCTCTAACCTAAACTACACCTAATACAACTCCCTCTACCTCTCACCTAAACTATGCCTAATACAACTCCATCTTCCTCTAACCTAAACTATGCCTAATACAACCCCCTCTTCCTCTCACCTAAACTATGCCTAATCCAACTCCTCTTCCTCTCACCTAAACTATGCCTAATACAACCCTTTTTTCTTCTAACCTAAACAACACCTAATACAACTCCCTCTCCCTCTCACCTAAACTATGCCTAATACATGTCCTTCTTCTTCTCACCTAAACTTCTAATACAACCTCCTCTTTGTCTCACCTAAATCACTTCTAATACAACCTCCTCTTTGTCTCACCTAAATCACACACTTCTCTCCCCCCCCTCCCCCCCCCCTCCCCACATCCACAAGACACAGTTACCCACCCTCTCAATGAACTTGGTACTGATGAAGCGCTGGTTCTGACTGGAGCAGTATAGGGTCAAAGTTCGGTTGGCCAGATCCTCAGGTTTGTTATGATAGTAGTGGATGTTCTGGATAACAGTTTCATAGTTGGGGATCGTGTCAGCATCTGTTAACACCAAGATGAAGGTAATAAACAATACACAGATAATGAGAACAAATCAGGCAAATTATAATACAATGTCTCCTGCTGCCACAGAAATGGTGATGCCTTATGTGAAGAATTGCATGTACGTTTACTGATCTGTTGTAACTGCTGCATCCATCAATGATGAGCTGCAATTTAGTGTCAGACTGTCTGTGTTGGCACTTCTGGCGGCTACCTTACGCCATTAATATGTGTGTGATGCTGCTGGATTTGCTGAGACTGCAGTCTGTGTCAATTTTTCCACAAGGGACACTGGTGTACATTCTTGGTTGTTTTCAGTGGCTCAGGAACGGAGCAGCTATGGGGTGACCTGTTTGCTATGAAGCTGGAACTGTGATTGCCTGATTACAATGTCAAAAACCAACAGTCTAGTATCCTTTTCAGTGCTTTATTAAAATCCTACCCCAAATATTGGAAATCCACAGGTCACGGGACATTCTAATAATTCAGGGGGTGGTAGATAGGCCACATGCAGTCGTGGGACCTAGGCTGCACTCTCTCGTGGGGCGTTTGTTTGGGATTAGGGCCAGTTCTAGATGTTTTCGGGTCGTTAAAAGCATTAGAGAGCCGGGAAACCCAGTCTTACCACCCTCTTAAATGTTGGACTGTCCTGTGACATCATCTGGGGTACGATATTAACAAAGAACCTCCTTTTCTATCTGCCATTCTATTTCTGTTGTCAACAATATTCCAGTCTGGTTGTGGATAAGGATAATTTTCACTGCTGAATGATATCTTCCAAGTTAGTTGGTCACTATAGTTCCAACTTCATGACAAACAGGTCACCCCCCATACTGCTGTGTTCTTGTGCCAATGAAAACCATACAGGATTGCCCTTGTAGGAAAATAGACTGAAAGTGAAACAGAATACAAACTTGGTAAAGCCAACAGCATATATACATACATATTAAATACATGAAACAGCCACCAAGAATTCCAACACAAACATTATGCCACTAAAACTGCAGTTCATCATCGAAGGAACAGTAGTTAAAACAAATCAGCAGTTACACATGCAATATTGCATAAATCACCACTAGTTTTGTGGCAAAAGGCCTTTTCTTAATCTGCAGTTCAAAATACAATCACAATACAAATCACCCTTGGCACAGTCTCCAAGCATTCCAAATGAAATTCACAGTTCACAGTGTCACACCAAGCGCTCAACTTAGTAGCTGGGTGATGAAACTAATCAATTTCAGTCCAAAAAAGAGGGAAAATGCAACAGTTAACAGTGGAAATATCTTGTCTAGACTAAAATGGTTGGCCTGCCTAACCGTCATATTTGATCAAAAGTTTGTGAATACCTTTTAACTGCTTCTTAAGATTATTGCAATGTATTCTAAATTTGCCTCCTAAAAATATATCATCATATATATATATATATATCATAGTTTATACAAAACATCACTAGAAACTTTGTAGAATTAGGAAAAATAAAACAATGAAAACATAAAACTGCAAAACTGGCAGAATTAATCAAAGACAATTAATACACACCATGTGTGTGTAAAAAATTAATGGAGAAAAGCCAAACTTATGATTCACCTGGTTAAAAAAAACTTGCTTACCATACCAAATACATGAAAGAGCACACACAACAAAAACTTACTCCGGATGACAATCCCATCATTTGTCTCTGTCCACTCAAGACCATGCTTCTCCATCAGTTGAGTGGGAAAGGACAAATGTTCGATGAAGAGGTTCAGGGGAGGGTCTGCCTTCACATGGCACTCATCAATCATGAAAGCATCATCCTTGGACTCTGCTTCTTCTGTGCAGTAAACACAACATCTATTAACTCAAATGCTATACACAACAATGCATCATCGATCTTATGGATTTTCCAGTCCACTGATCAACAAGCAGATACAAGCATTACCGGTGTGTTGGGAAATTAACAGGCAGACAGACCGGTTGGCTCTGCAAAACTTGGTGAAATACTGATACATGATAGGGCAGACGTGATTAGTGCCTTGTGGGAGAGCGTGTACAGTTTGGAGGAGCAGATAGATCACTATAGTCTGGTGAGATTGATGCAGCGGAAAGTGACGAGTGGTTCTGGCAGAAGCTCAAGGCTCAGAGGAAAGGCAAGACGGACGTTTAATCAGAATGACTACTGTCACCATTAGTAACGGATCTCTTCAGGCTGCTGAAGATGGGGACGGAGTGCTTATGGGAATGCCACAAGTGCTGTGATGTCGGTTCTTAAATCAAATCAATACAAGCATTAGAAATGCGATGTTTCAGAAAAATTCTTGGCATATAATACAGAGGCCACATTACAAACGATGAGGTTCGCCATACAATTATACAGCACATTGGTACTATAAACCTCTTTTAACTACATTGAAAAGGCGAAAAATGCAATGGTATGGAGATGTAATAAGATCTAACGGCCTCTCAAAAACAATACTACAGGGCTCAGTAGAAGGGAAGAGGAGAAGAGGCAGACCAAGAAAGACCTGGTTACAGAACCTGACTGACTGGACAGGCCTCAGGCATGCAACCATCATGCGGGTCCATCCCAACTGACCGCCAAAGGTGGAGAGAGCTGATCAGACAGTCAACAGAAACTGGTGACCTAACAACATGTAGTGTTACAGGACGATAATGATGAGGTTGATGATCAACAAGCATCTATATATTTTCTCTTCCACTGCTTCGCCAATCACTTGAATTCAGTTTCAAAACATATAAAGGTCTTATGCTGCTACAGCTCTGCGAACATCTATTTTTCAGTAAGGCTACGATTATTCACATTGTTATCCCAAAAGGCTCCAAGTTACCTACGGCCGTTGTTTAAATAAAATGGAAGGCATAGCAAACCTCTAAACATGTTACATATCGCTAAACCCAGGACAGACCTATACAAAGCAAGTTTAGCAAACTCCACAGCTCTTCAGAAACTGCTTAAATATTTTTTGAGCCTAGATTACATGCCCTCTTGAAAGATCAAAGTATTTTAGAAATAGCAATTATTTCCCCTAGATTTATCAGTTACTAGGGTTTACTGTAGTTATAAATGTAGGCGTCAATTGGATTCTCTTCTCATAGCTTCACCAGTCACTTGGATTCTCTTCTTAATGATTCACCAGTCAGATTCTTTTCTAACTGATTCACCAGTCACTTAGATTCTCTTCTAATTGATTCACCAGTCACTTGGATTCTCTTCTGATTGATTTACCAGTCATTTGGATTCTCTTTCAACTGATTCACCAGTCACTTGGATTCTCTTATCATTGCTTCAGTCACATTGATTCTCATATCACGGCTTCAGTCACTTGGATTTTTATTACTGCTTCAGTCACTTGGATTCACTTATCACTGCTTCAGTCACTCAGATTCTCTTATCATTGCTTCAGTCACTTGGATTATCTTATCACAGCTTCAGTCACATGGATTCTCTTATCATTGCTTCAGTCACTAGGATTCTCTTATCACAGCTTCACCAGTCACTTGGATTCTCTTAACACGACTTCAGTCACTTGGATTCACTTATCACTGCTTCAGTCCCTCAGATTCTCTTATCATTGCTTCAGTCACTTGGATTCTCTTATCACAGCTTCAGTCACATGGATTCTCTTATCATTGCTTCAGTCACTAGGATTCTTTTATCACAGCTTCACCAGTCACTTGGATTCTCTTAACACGACTTCAGTTACTTGGATTCTATTATCACAGCTTTTGTCAACCTTTTACATACTCTCACTGTAACTGTTTTCTTTTTCTTCTTCTTGTCCGCGCAGTGTTGTAACTAGTAATCTTGTCTACCCACAGACTTTTGTCTTGTGCACTATCAATCACTTCTGATGCAGAAGCCATGATTGGTTCGAAACAGCTTTTTTTTTTAATATCCAGAAACCACGAGTTGTTAACCCTTTGGCTTGGTACTGTGGATATCGCAACCTTCGGCCTTGATTCCATGATAAATACCATAAAACTGGGAGAAATGTGGCTTTTCTGCCAACCCCCCGGCATGAACCCGGACCACAAGGAGTTCGTCACCCAGTCGTTGTGAAGTCAGGTTTAACCTACTACGCTAGCGAGCCGGGCAAACAGCCTTATAAACATGAGTACCAAAAATTTTTTGAATTCTCTCAGAAGGAAAGATGACAAGCAAGGCATAAAGCCACCCTACCTAATATGTCATGACTCAGAATATGTGAAGCCCTTCGCACTGCAATGGGAGTATTTGCTGTGAAACTACTTTTCTCTGCTACCGTTAGTATCGGCGTCAAGCACTGTAACAATGTTCCTTTCTTTTTCTTCTTTCACCGTCTCACTGATACCAGGTTGCAGTCCAGCGCCCTGGTTTTCTGTACTTGTCTTGCACTTCTCGGGTGGCTTGGGTGATGGAATTGTTTATCTTCTTGCAGGTTTTAGCTACACCATTTATCCATCTCTTTCTTGGTCTTCCTCTCTTCCTTCCGGATGTTCTTCTGTACCAAAAAATGTTACATGCAGTTTATTCTGGCTGCATTCTCATTAGATGGCAGAATCATTTCATCCTTTGGCTGTCAATATAACTCAGACACAGTCTTATTCTAACTTTCTAATGCTGGAGACAGTACATTTCACAGGTAGTTATTTTATGTTCTAGTGCCCTATTTGCTGTCCATGTCTGGCAATGATAGCATAATGTAGACCCACACTAATAAAAGTCTCCTTCCCCGTGTGGGTTTGGGACCCCATTTTAGGGGTGTGTGGAAAGGGGAGAGAATAGACTGACTGCTTCCCAACAAGCACGTCACAAAAGTCAACTAATTAGGGATATTTCCTTGAAACTCGGAGAGCAACTACCTATGGGGCAAGGAACCAACAGTTTGCTTTTAAAGAAGCCAGATCTGTAAAAAAAAAAAGATGTGCACACCGAAAAAACTCAAGTTCTGGAACAATACTAAAGTCCAGAGGTGGACAAACAACCAGAATTTTCCGATGGAGTTCACAGTCGGTGAACACGAAGAAGTAAAAAGATTTGCTGAAATCAGATATGTTGGCTCTAAAGGCACAGCTATCAAATGCTAGCTGTACACCACAACATAATACGCCACATGTCCTTTTAAGGTCAAATGCATGGAAAAGAACAGGAACATGAAAAAGAAGAAGAAAAAGGAAGAGAAGGAGGAGGAAGAAGTATATACTCACGTTGAATAAGAGACTTTGATAGCTTTTTAGCCATATTGGCGGCCTTATCGCTACCATCTTCTTCATCTACAGTCTCTTCAAGAGGTTGGGATCGGGCGAAGATGTGTATGTCATGGAACACCCGCAGACCCCTCTCAAACTCATACACCATGCGGGTCAAATTGGAGTATCCAGTGATGACAAACACCGGCTCCTGCTGTTCCTCCACCAAGATCCTCTTCTCCAGCAGAGGAAGGACCACAGTCTGGCCTTCACAACTAAAGAAGAAATTACATCTCTGTTACCATCTGCATCATAATTTTTTTTTTTTTTTTAATGAATGCAAAAAGTTAACTGGACAAACCAACTTGAATGCTGAACTAAATAAAAGCTTGTAAAAAGTAAACATTTTCCTATCCAGACAAACCAACTTAAAAAGCCGAACTTAATAAAATCTTTTAAAAAGTAAAATTTTCCTATCCAGGCAAATCAACTTATAAAGCCGAACTTAATAAAAGCTTGTAAAAAGTGAAATTTTCCTATCCTGTTGGGGGGCAGGGAAGGGCATATGGTGCTAGAACTATACTTTTATAGACTAACCAGCACTTGTTGGCTGATATGGTCAGAATTGTTTGGACTGTATTACCTCCCAGCACACTTCTTAGCACCAATTTTAGGCTGGGTTGATGTGGGAGGTCACTTAAACCTCAATAGGGACTCAAACCCATAACAACTAGACCAACAGGCAAGTGTTCTGGCCACTGTGCCACTGCAACTTCAAGCATCATCATTACAGATAATTATTTCAAATGTGGCCATGGTGTCTCATTGGCTGGTTGGTTGAAAAGCTCAGAGATTTGAGTTGTGCCCTTTGTGGATGTTTCGGCCATCGCAGTTATTAACAGGGCTAGCATCCGCCAGGGTAAAGCTGGTCATTAGTCGAGGTTTCCGACGTGATGCTGACCACATCACCCATCTTGTGCCGATTGGTCTATAAAAATATATGTCTAGCCCTACATGCCCTATACGTCTAAAGGTGGGGAAAAGGGACCTTTACTTTTTTTTTTTTTTTTTTTTAGTCGAGGTTTCAACCTCACAGCAAATAGGTCATTCCTTAATCCTCTCTGCCTGAGTGATTTTTGCTAACAAGATGATGTCTTTGGACGATTTGGTAACGATTGCAACTGCATACTTTGCAGACATCATCATCATCATCATGTGCCCTGCCAAGTGGCATAGGCACTCATGCGTCTCTACAGATCATGATCCCTGGTTGACTGGAACAGCTCTCTTGATGATATCACTCCATGCCATCGTTTTAGCCCATCCAGCATCATCTCTCTTGGTGTGCCTCTACTCCTTTTTCCACTGATCTTTCCAGTTGTCACGATGCTCTCCAATGTCTCTCTTCTCATTATGTAGCCAAAGAACAGTGTTTGTCTCTTTCTTTTTGTTGTATATAGAGATCTACTTTCATTAACTTCTTTCAAGCAATCATTGTTAGTTACTCTGGCCGTCCAAGGTATTCGTAACATTCGTTTCAGAAACCACATCTCTGTTGCTTCCAAATTCTTCTTAATTTGTTACAGTGACATTCCAAGATTCGCTGCCACAAAGGCAGAACAGGTTCCACCCTCTTTCTGACATTAAATGAAAGTGATTTATTGCATAAGATATTTTTCATTATCTGAAATGCAGCTTTCGCTTGACCTATTCTGCTTTTAATCTCTGTCCCACATTTTCCATCTGATGATATGATTGTTCCCAGATATTTGAATTTATTGACTTGTGCAGACATGGTGTGTATGATTATATTTACCACCCCAAACAAATGTTTTTGTAGATATTATTTAGGGTGACATTTTTAAAAATTGTGGATTCACCCTTGTGGCTTATAATTGTATTATTGCCTCATAGTAATCTTTTAAAATGGTCAAAAGAAAGTAAATCATTTTATTCTTTACCCCTGTTTGTATTTAGTGATGACATTCCATGTAGTAATGAGCCTTTTCCCAACATAGGCAGACAGTGACTGAAAAATGTTCTAATTTTTTTAGTGACATGACATCATCAAAGAAGCAGAGGACTTCTCCCTCTCTTCTCAGTGGTCCAGTGGTTCGACCCCCTTGATTTTGATAAGCCCAATACTCCACATTTCTTCAGCTTCTTCTTCTCTTCTTCTAGTTTCTTAAGCTAGAATCTCTGAGAATTATAACAGTACATTTTTCAAGGAAGTTTTACAAAAGGTCATTTTTTAAGATTATTACGGGACAATTGGGTTAACTAATCCATTCCTGTGCTAGGGAACATAAGACCAGATGTGCAAACACCAACAGTCCCACCACAGCCTGACTTACATGACAGAGGTCTCAATGGTAAGTGTCCGGTATCCAGGGGTTGGGTAGGTACGAGTGTTCACATATGTCACCTGTCCCATGAGCCTGTTCACCTCCTCCACACTTCGGCTGCTGATGGTGAACTCCGTCATCTCGCTGTTGAAGCTCACACTCTGTGACAGACAAGAACAATATTTTCAAATCAGAGCATACTTTTCAACATAAAAATAGAATTCTCACATCACAGTATAGTTTTCAAAATTGTACCCCCAAAAAAGCAGCATTCTCACAACACACACTTTTCAATGCAAAAACAGTATTTTCAAATGAAATGCATACTTTTCAATGTAAAAACAGTATTCTAATATCACAGTATACTTTTCAATGTGAAAACAGTATTCAAATTTCACAGCATACTTTTCAAACATAAAAACAGTATTTGAATATCACAGCATACTTTTCAATCTAAAAACAGTATTCTCCTATCAGAGCCTACTTTTCAATACTTCTTTTTCTGCATTTGCATTTAAAAGGTGGCCGAATGTTGTGCTGTATTCACAGTTAGGCTGTAATATTAGCCAAAACTTATCTGTTTTCAGCAAACTCTTTAACTAGTCACTTTGCACATTTTTGTAAGGGACAGTGGGTCTATTACTTTTACACCTTAAAATGAAACATCAGAACCCACATAAGAATCCTTTTCAACACAAGTATAGCATTTTCAAATCACCTGGAGTTTTCTGCAGCCCCACTGGTTGAAGAACACTGCGATATACTCTCATCTGGAATAGCAACAACCTCCAGGTAACTACTAAGCTCATAAACATATAACTCAAGAAGCAACACAAACTAAAAACTCACAGTTCCACTGGACATGTCGCTGATGGCATGGAAGTCCAAGTTCTCCTTACAGTTATTCAAGCACTTGATGATTCGCTCACTTTCAGTTTTCCCCTTCAAGACAAACAGCCCAGCCATATAGCCCTTGTAGTAGTGGTTAAATGTGTTGTCAGCTCCTGTGAACAGAGGCAGCAATGATTATAAATCTGAGGCAGTTCTATTACTAGAGACATTAGTGATTATGACATGGGTCTAGGGAAAACAGAAAAAAAAACACCAGAAAACATAAAACAAGCTGTGCCAATAATTTTACACCTATAATGCACAATTTGTGGAGGTCAGAGGAAATGAACACTAATTCTAAACTTAAAATCTTTAGTTCCTATGTCAAACCAGCAATGCTGTATGGAGCTGAAACATGGAGAACTACTCAAACAATTACTAATAAACTGCAAACATTCAATAACAGAATTAAATGGTATGATAGTATCAATGACGCTGAGCTTTGGGAGAGAACTAAACACGTGCCTGTGGACCAAGAGGTGAAGGAAAGATGTTGGTGTTGGACAGGAAACATGTTGAGAAAACCTGAGAACAATATAACTAGAATGTCTTTGCACTGGAACCCCCAAGAGCACAGAAATAAAGGCAGAACGAAAAACACGCCGAGACGGGAGCTAGAGCATGAAGTGAAAAAGATGGGGAGGACATGGGGAGAGCTGCATGCAACAGCGAAGGATAGAACAACTTGGCGTGAGTTGGCTGGGGGCCTATGCTCCACTGGAGGTTAGAAAGCAGAGGAAGAAGAAGAAGAATGCCCAGAAGTTGTTTTATTACCCTATCTGAACCATAGTAAAAGTAAGTAAAGGTCCCTTTTCCACGCCTTTAGGGCATATAGACCTTTATTTTTATAGACCAATCGGCACAAGATAGGTGATGTGGTCAGCATCACCCTGGCCGCCTTTACTTCCTCGGGACTGCATCCGGTACCCACTCAAGTCTGGGTCAACCTGGGTATCTGAACCATACTACAACAAGAGCTACTACAACTACTCAAGTGCATTAAAGCTATCTCACTCCCTGGCACACAAAAGATAAATAAATAAAACATAAACAGCTACAACTATCCATCCACAACGAAGGCTGGCTGCAATGGATCTCTGGTATGCTGTTTATCGTACCCTCTCTCTGATCACCGTTCATCATCTCTTGATGTTATCCTCCAATCAGTCTTTGTCTTGCTGTCTACGTGTTGTTTACTTACCTTCAACTTGTCCTCTCCAATGTGGTTTTTAGACGAGCGTTCTGTCACGTGTTGAATGTTGAATGTCAAATTAAGAATCAACGTCACACCACTCAGGACACTCCCATAGGTGCTCAGTCCTCATCTTCAGCAGCAAGTGAAGAGTTCCAATCCCGATGGTACCAGTAACCGTCTGACTGTATATCTGTCTCATCCTTCTCTTGAGTGTTGAGCATCAGCCAGATCCCCTGGTAACTCCTCGCAGCGCCATTCTCCTCAGACCATAATGATCTATCTGTGCCTCCTCACTGTTCACTCACTTCTGTCACTTTAAAGTGATGAAAACAGGGATCACTGCAGTCAAGCTAATACCAGGACATTAATCCACTGAACTGTGATTAAGAAGCCTAATGAAGGGGGAAAGGAAAAAACACATACACACACATATATATATATATATATATATATATATATATATATATATATATATATATATATATATATATATATATATATATATATATATATATATATATATATATATATATATATATACACACACACACACACACACACACCCACACACAAACCGGACATTTTGGAAGAAGCTTTTATCACCAACAACCACACCAACAACAACCAGTGGCAGAGTATCCAGGCCACTAGTGTGTGCTGTCTCTTGCCCCCCCCCCCTCGCCATTTTTTTTCTCCCTTCCATTCAGCTTTGCGGTCACAGTTCAGTGAATTAATTTCTTGGATATGTCACTTCATGTGGCTGAAATATTTTGGATGTGCCTCATTTGTATTTCTTTCAGCAGCTAAATCAACTAGCCAGGTACATTACAGCTCTCTCTGACTCCCTGACCAACAAAAGGGAAAAAAACATGTCACATGACCTTGCCAGCAGGCACCGACTGTCAGCTTAGTGGTGTGAACTTTTGTGGTTTTGTGGAGAGGCCAGTCATCGACGATCTCAAAGTTGTCCTTGTCCACAGGCAGCAGTTTGCCATCAATGTAGAGTTTCACCTGGAGAATCAAAGACACAACAATGACAACCACATGCTCCATCTGCTTACAACTGTTGGTATCCACCTGAATGGCTTACTGCAGTGGTTCCCAGTTAGCTAAGTTATACAGACCTCTTAAAGTTCTGAAGGTCTGCCATTGATTAGGTACTTTTTAATAGTCATACTTAAGACTCTTCTTTTTCTTCTTCTTCTTCAGCATTCCGAGCCCTTGAGGTTTATTGCTGCAGATATTACCCGCCTCCATTCATCTCTCTGGTTGGTCTTCTCTTTCCAGTTGGTGATACCAAGTGTTTGCAGGTCTGTCTGGACATTATCTCTCCATCGTCTTCTTGGTCTGCCTCGTAGTCTATGACCATCCATCTCCCTTGTGTATAGTTTTTAAAAAATATTTCTTTTAAATATTTTTAAAAATATTTTTTAAAAAGATGCGAAAACAGATGTATAAAGATGCAAACAGTGGGGAATTGAGAGTGAAAAGCAATAATGAAATTCATAATCTATTTAAATTACCACTGATCACTGGCATCATGAGAGCTAATAGATTGAAATGGTTGGGGCATATTGAAAGAATGTCAGATGACAGAAGTAAAAACTGTGTACTGAAGAAGATCATATATTTTTAAAATCAATAATCAAGGAAATGATATATCTGACAATGCAGAAGTGACCAGGAGAGATCAAATTAGGAATGGGGTCATAAGAGAAAAAAAATTGCACAGAACCAATTCTTCTTCTTCTTCTTCTTTTTCTGTTCGCTTGAAATAGATTATCTATATCTGCAATGTTGTCTCTAGTATAAACTTCACTGTCTTTTGTAATTCACTCAGCGACCCGTAAAGTTTGACTTGCACCGATGTTTCTCTTGGCCACAAGTTTTGCCTTGATATGTTGTATTGGGACAGTCTTGGAGGACATGATCTGTTGTCTCAGGTGCTATAAAGACAGCAAATCAAATGGTTTGCCACTTATCAAATGGTTTGCCCACTTATCAAATGGTTTGCCCACTTATCAAATGGTTTGCTCACCTAGAGAGAATGCCTTGTGATGCCATACCATATAAGGCACACAGCAAAAGAGGAGAAGGATATGGAGCACAAGGTAGACCAAGAACAAGATGGAAAGATCAGAGAAACTCTACAACAGCATGATGTGTCTACGGTCAAGGTGGTCAGAAGAGAAGAAGTAGAACCTTATACCTCCCTCAACACCCAAAGCGGTCAAAGAGAAAGTGAAGAAGAAGAAGATGCTGAAGATATTATAATAATTTATAAATTATTAGAATTGCAAAAATGACTGTAGTCTAAAGTTGAGAGTTGTCTTTTAAATGATATCTCAGATATCTTAAATCTGTTCCGCAACGCCCCCCTCCCCTTTCCCCAAATGGGAAACCCCAGTTTAGAGGGTTGAGGTTTGCCTGGCTCGCTAGCTCACTTAGTTAAACCTGACTGCACAGCGACTGTGTGATGAACTCCTTGTGGTCAGGGTTCACGCCCAGGCGTAGGTACAAAAGCCACATTTCTCCCAGATTTACGTTGTTTATTATGAAATCAAGGCCTAAGGATTGCGATATCCATAGCACCGGGCCAAAGGGTTGACAACTCATGGTTTCTGGATATTTAAAAAAAAAGGACTGAGGTTGTGACCAGGCTTTTTATGTTTATTTAATATTTAATTAATACAAAACTCAGCCAAAGCATGGTTGAGATGCATGTGCTTCCAGATATCAGGTTCTCGTAATCTCAAATCAGGACCTAAATTAGGGTCTCAGGAAGGGTCACAAGATGGTGTGAATTGAGTTGAGTCAAGAATTTACATCACAGCACTCAGGGCATTTCCATGTGTGCTCCATCCTCATCTTCAGCAGCCAGTGCAGAGTTCCAAATACTGATGTGAAATGTGTTCAAAATGGGGAAAAATTAAGAACAAGAAATTAAAACCAGAGAAGAGAAATCCTAAGACTGTTCTGTTTTTTCAGGCGCCGAGTAGTTTATAGTTTTCATCCACTTTTGGTTAAAGTTGCATACATTTAAAAAAAAAAAAAATAAGGATAAGTGTGCATGTTGCACATTTTAAAGTGCACTCTGCAAGTGAACCGAAAACCGCAGGAAAAGCAAACCGCCAACTAGAAAATAATTTGTCAACTTAGAACAGCTATTCATATTATGAGGAAGAAAGGACTCAAAAACATTGTTATAACTGGCAAGATTGATGGGGGAAATAAGCAAGGGGACGGCAATGAGACAAATACCTGGATGGCTTAGCCATGTGGAAAGGGCAAGACACAAGCACTGACCTGATCCATGGTTAAGGTGATCATGTCAGATGACAACATTTGACTGCCTGTGCATATGCCTCTGGAGTAAGAAGGACAGGTGGGGAGAGGGATCAATAGGGAAGACCTGGTCTCTACAATAGTGTCCAAGCTTTGTGTTATGATGAAGAGTAACCTCCTCTTTGGCTCTAATGGGCTATGATTTCCAGGCTGCTCTATAAAACACTATAACACTATCATCTAGCATCATATTTTTCATCGGTTGAAATAAAAGAAACGGTATAATACTGCTATCAAAACATACATCCAGGATTCTAACAGCCATCAAGCCGCCAAAATACATCTAGACTGACACACACACACACACACACACACACACAAAACTACTCACTCCTCCATCACTGCTCTCTTGTTTGATATCCACACTGACAGCATAGTGATGCCATCTGTCATCGGTAACATGGGGGATTTTCCAGCGAAACTCGGCAGGTCGGAATGTCTGCATGTCCTCGGATGATTTCACATCCTCTGCTTCCTTGCGCAGCAGCAGCACTAGTTTTTGTCCGTGGATGTACAAACCATAATGGTGACGATTCATACCTACAAATGTAAACAGGACAAATTATTACTACAAGTCTCAGTGTGAGATCTTGCACCCCATTCGGTGCGGGTTGGGGATAGACTCAGCGATTAGACCAACAATAGATTGAGAGAAACCACTTATATTTTAGTGGAATTTATTCAGTTTTTGTGCTTCATTATATGTTAATGCAACTGTAGTAACGCACCTGACAAGATAGAGCGAAATATGCAAGGCAATAAAGTGTGCAATGAATTTTTTGTGTCCGCATTATTTAAATTAAGGGGCTATACTCCGAATAACGGTCCCAAATTATCGAGACCCAAAATATACCCTAACAGGGCCTCCGTCACGTGTCAATTGCGGACTTCCGGCGACTTAAATTGAGCACTTCTGGCGACTTCCGCCACCGCGAGAGTATCCCCCACGCGGCATGGAATAGGGGCTAAACTAGATGGCTGGGACTCATGAGCAGCAGCTACCGCATCTCCTGCAGTTTCCTTCATTTTATTTGCTCGTGAGTCCCAGCCATCTAGTTTAGCCCCAATCCACCCCGCCTGGATACTCTCGGCCGTGGCGGTATAGTCCCCGGAAGTCCACAATTCGGCAGTGGCGGTATAGTCCCGGAAGTCCGCAATTGACACGTGACTGAGGCCCTGTTAGGGTATATTTTCGGCCTCGATAATTTGGGACCATTATTCGGAGGATAGCCAATTAAGGATTTACTCAAATCAGGTGTACTGAGCCAAAAGTATCAGATATTGCAGCTTAGTTATAAGACAACATGTCTAACACCTTTTTAAGGATGAATGCAGAAAAAAAAAAAGAAGAAGAAGACTGAAGACTACAGCAGGAATATCAAATTAACTAAAATCAATGACCACACAAAAAAAGAGAGATGTAGATCAAGAGGTAGACCAAGAAAAAGATGGGAAGAAACATCAGAGAAACTCTACAGAACCATGATGTGTCTATGGTCGAAGCAGCCAGAAGAGCATGAAGCAGGACCTTATATCTCCTTGGACATCCGAAGCGGTAAAAGAGGACGTAGATCAAGAGGTAGACCAAGAATAAGATAGGAAGATAACATCAGAGAAAGTCTACAGCACCACGATGTGTCTATGGTCGAAGCAGCCAGAAAGCATGAAGCAGGACCTAATATCTTCCTCCACACTCGAAGCGGTAAAAGAGGAGGTAAAGAAGAAGAATAGCCTCTTTAACTCTTTGGGTCCCAAAGAACACATCATGCGCTGATTTATAACTAATTTAACTGTCCTCTGGGACCCAAAAGTTACATATTCAATCAATGAATCAGCTGTCATCTTCACAATGCAGGTGGCAGCAATTAATCTAAAACACTTTATGTAACTCACCTTTTAAGTAACCCTTCTCGAACTACGACTCATCTAAATTGATGTTATCCTCACACTTGCATCGCTGTATATCTCTTGCCTACCTGCCTACAACCTTTCCCTTCAATTTGTTATTTAAATCATTCCTATAAATAAAAAGAGGGGGAACCTTTGAGGCCGTTAAATATTATGAATCAATCCAGTAACAGAAAGTGTATTGATTGGCACTCATAGAAAGAAGTAGAAAGATAGAAGAACACACTAGACAACATAAAAATCGAAAGCTTAGTTACCGTGCCAGGAATTGAACCTGTCACCTTCAGATGGCGTGTGCACCTCGCCATTGATACAAGTGCACTAAGAACATGTTATGTATTTTCCAAAATATTTCGTCTTTTATATCTTTATTTTTTTTTTCAACAACTCTTTTTCCAGCCTCTCTTCAACCTCTGTATTTAAACATTTTTTTTTTTGTCTCCATGAAATACAACCCATTCTGTTACATACCAACATCTCTAGGCCCTCAGTTTAGGGTTCTCTACTCAGACATTTATTATGCACTTTCTGCAATGCATAGTTTGGCTTAGCAAACAGAACAAATAATAAATATAATTATAGCAGAAGGTCTCGACAGAAATGACTGACTGTTTTGTTATTACAACTGAGAGTCCTGCACATTAGGCATTCACATGCATGCTCTTCTTCTTCTTCTTCTTCAGCATTCCGAGCCCTTGAGGTTCACTGCTGCAGATATCATCCGCCTCCACTCATCTCTCTGATTGGCCCCTCGCTTTCCAGCTGGTGACACCAAGTGTTTTCAGGTCTGCCTGGACATTATCTCTCAATGATCTTTTTAATCTACAACCATTTATCTCCCTTGTGTATACAGGTTTTACCTCTCTGTCATCTGACATTCTCTCACTATATCCCAACTGTTTCAGTCTATTAGCTCTTATGCATTCTCAGTCTTCCAATTTTACTCACTTGCTATTCATTTTATGTATCCTGTTACATGAACATAACATGCTTTATAGATAAAATACAGTTACTGTGTGAAAGCTGGGTGTTTGGAAGGGCTGAATCTAAGATAGGCCTGTGTGCCTAATTTATGACCCTTTGAAAATAAGGTAACTCCAAGGTACCTCTATGATTGTTCCAATGAGATGGTGGTTTTAATGTCCCTATACAGATGCGCTTTACCAAGCTTTACTCCCAGACTGCACAATCTGTTAGAGTTAGAAATTCCTGATCCATACAGCACTGATAATATCAGCTCTGTCCACGCTTATTCCAGTATGCATTGGTGTATTCCTTGCCATCTGACCTGCTTATTAGTTAAATTTTACTAAGGTATGCCCAGGTGTGTAGATCCAGGAGATGGGGGTTAAGGGTGCTTTATTAATATCCTACCTCAAATAGGGGAAATCCACAGGTCATTGGACAGTCTAATATTTTAGTGGGATGGGACCTAGGCTGCATTCTCTCTTAAAACGTAGGTGGGTTGTGGTTAGACCCAGTTCTAGATGTTTTGGGGTCATTAAAAGCATCAGAAAGCCAGGAAACCCAGTCTTACCACCCTCTAAAAAGTTGGACTGTCCTTTGATGTCATCTGGGGTAGGATATTATTAAAGAACCAGGTTAAGTGCAACTTCCAAATATTTCCTACCCATTTAGAGTACAGACTAACTGTTGAGATTTTGTAAAGCATGTTCATAAGTCAGCAGTAAATGGTGATAGCAGACTGGGAAAAGACATAATGACCAAAACCACATGGCATAGAAGAAATAATCATGCACAAATGTTACCAGTCAAATAAACAAACAAAACGAACTTAATAAAAGCTTTTAAAACTGTAAACAGCCCTGAGGAAATCTCTACTCACCATTTCCATCCGACATGCAGAAGATATGTTCCTTTGGTGCCTTGGCTTGACTGGAGGCCAAAGACTCCCCATGCCTCAACCAAGCAGAGATGGTAAACTGATCATGCAGCATGTGGTTAAACACAGATTCCGGCACTTCCAGGGCATTGTTCTGTCCATCAAAGGAGAACACTTGGTCCATTTCATGTCCATCATCTGTCGGGATGTTGTGGGACCACCCAGAACTGTCTGGAGATGGGAGAAGGTCCACACTTTCTCCGCTAGCACCTAGTTTGACAGAAACATTTTCACATATATATCTTAGAACTGCAAAGAATCATTAACACCTAACTCAAACCGTGTGTGGTTCCAGGGCGCCATTTTGGGGAGGGGGAGGGGGGGGGGGGGGGGGGGAATAGACCCAACTGCCCCTCTTACAAGCATATCAGAAAAAAAGATTAATCAGGGGCGTTTTCTTCGAAGTTGGTGCATCTGTCTGTGGAGCAAGGAACTAACAGTCTGCAAACAAATAAGCCAGATCGGTAAAAGTCAACTTCTGGAATAAGACCAGAAGTGGACAAACAACCAGAACTTTTCACCAGAGTTTACAGCCAGTGAGAGTTAAGAAGAAGACAAAAAACATAATTCATAAGACACATAACGTTTATGCCTTAGCTTTACGCTTGCTAGCAATTAATATGAGAGAAACATTTTATAAATTAAATGTCATGGTTACATTATCTCAATTCAAGAAATCTGAGCACAAGTGGATCCATTCTGCTTAGGAGCATCTTCAACATGCACCATTTGTATAAATGTCTTCGTTGGGACCATGCAGAAACTTCCTATCAGTCCCCCCCCCCCCCCCCCCCCCAACTCCCTTACTATCTGTTATGTTCCTATGTAAAAACTATCCAATATCACTTGCAGACACTGAGTTTGACTAGCAAAGGTGAATGTAAAACTGTCAAGTAAAAACAAAAAACAAAAAAATCAGGTTTGTCTCTGTGAGGGTTCCAGGGCCCTATTGAGGAGCGGGGGTTAATTTTCTGCCCTATGCATGATGCATAAGGTGACTAAATTTAGCTGTTTAACTTCAAAGTTGACTAATTAGAGCTGTTTCCTTTAAATTTGACTAATTAGAGGTGTTTCCTTCAAAGTTGAATAATTAGAGGTGTTTCCTTCAAAGTTGACTAATTAGAGGTGTTTCCTTCAAAGTTGAATAATTAGAGGTGTTTCCTTCAAAGTTGACTAATTAGAGGTGTTTCCTTCAAAGTCGAAGTACATCTGCCTGAGAGGTGAGGAACCAACAGTCTATAAATAAGCCAGATTTGTAAAACGAGTAAGGACATAAAAAGTTCTGGTACAAGCCTGAAGTCCAGAAGTGAAGGAACAACTAGAACATTCCGCCAGAGTTTATAGCTGGGGAGTGCTGAGAAGAAGACATAATTAAAGAAGAGAAAAGAGAGGAAGACATAAATAAAGAAGAAAGAAGAGAAGAAAACACAGCTGGAGTTGGTTTGCAATATTCTAGAACAATGGTCGGCAAACTCATTAGTCAGAGCTAAAAATCAACAACAGGACATTACAATTTTTTTGAGAGCCAAATTTCTTTTCAAGAACCTGTCAGAGTTGGTTTAAACTAGCTACTAAACATTAAATACAACCAAATATAATAATAATAATAATCTTATTTACAGACACAAAATTCAAAACATAAATTAAACATTAAATTCAACCAGATATAATAATAATCATCTCATTGACAAAAAATATAAAACACATTTTATGTGAACTATGACCTTACATTTCTCTGAAAAAATCTGGTTGGTATGTCATTGTTTTTAATTTCAAGCTGGTCAAAACCGATTTGTGGCCGACTGGTCGAGCCACACTCAGGTCGCTAAAGAGCCGCATGCGGCTCGCGATCCGTGATTTGCCAACCACTGTTCTAGAACATGTAAATAACTTGTGTTATTATCTTACGACGAATCTTTGGACCCATCAAAGATGCAAACAGCGGGAAATGGAGAATGAGAAGCAATAACAAAATTCATAATCTTTTTAAATCACCACTGATCACTGGCATCATGAGAGCCAATAGACTGAAAGGGTTGGGGCACATGGAAAGAATGTCAGATGACAGAGAAGTAAAAACTGTATACACAAGGGAGATGAACGGTCATAGACCACAAGGCAGACCAAGAAGAAGATGGAGAGATTATGTCCAGACAGACCTTCAAACACTTGGTGTCACCAACTGAAAAGAGAAGGCCAACCAGAGAGATAAATGGAGGCGGACGATATCTGCAGCAATGAACCTCAAGGGCTCGGAATGCTGAAGATGAAGAATTATAATCCTAAACAGCACACATACACAATCCCCTTCACCATGAAACTGACAGACCACTCACCACACAGTTTCCTTTGGGAGTTCACAGAATAGGTGTCTCGATCACAGCCTTTGCCTATGTGCTGGGTGGTCAACGTGATCTTGACGTTCACCTGGCTGGGCTTGCAGTCCCCATCACACAGACTCAAACTGGCCCCCTCAGCAAACCTCTGCTGCCCTGAGCCAGCTCTGTACTTGATAACATCATGCAGGCCTCGCCAGCTGCTCTGGCATTTTTCCTTCACTGCCAAATTAACAAACACTGGCGGGGACTTGCGCCCTCCGCAGTCGGTGGCAATAATCTGTAATGGAAATTAACACCATGCCAAAGATGTGTGGAAATTGGAAAATAAATAATAAAGAGTTAAATAGATAACAAAATACATGATAAAAGGTTGAAGAAAAGACAAAATACACATTAAAGAGTTACCCCCTGACTACCATGATCGTGCGATATGCGATCAGGCGAAGTTTTTGCCTGGCTACTATCGCGATCATAACTTTGGACACTAGCTGTCATGTTAAAATCGAATTTGGTTGAAGTGCTTATAGTAAATGTTTGCTGAATTTTAATTGTCAGCTTCCATGTTGCTGACAAACTAATAAAATTTCCGTTTTGGCGTCAAATTCTCGATGGGATCATGGTGGTCATATTTATCACTTTCTGTTACTGCACATGATTTTATTTTTAGATAGAAGACATGGTACCAGGAAGGACGGGCAGGGACTGACCAACACAAAGATGGGCACAGGATATAAGTGACACCTTGAAAATAAAAGTGCACAAGGTGGAAGAGCTGGTGAGACCAAGTTTCTTTTAGGCAGACCATTTTGAGAGTGACAATCTGCAAAGGACCTATGTTGATAAAAACTTATGGGACTCACTGTATAATCAGACCTACCTCCAGTATAAAGTTCCTGTGCCGACTGTAATCCAAAGGCTCCGTGTTCCTGACATCTCCTTCTGGTGTAATATTAAAAGGAACGCCGGTGGTGAGAAGCTCGTAGCCGCAGATGGTGCCAAAATTAGAAGATTTGTCCTCATCCGAGGCATGGATCTTGACAATGGAATCATAGATCTTCTTTTCTTCCACTTCAGCAAAATATGACTCGTTATCAAACTTGGGAGCAAACTCATCCACATCCAAGACTTTAATCATGATGTAGGCCCTAGGAAGAAATTTACCAGGATATTAATTGTTAATTTACTAGATTGGCTTTAAACTGGAACCCACAAGGGGTATAGAAATAAAGGTAGACCACAAAACACAAGGAGGAGGGAACTAGAGAGTGAAGTTGAAAAAGAAAAATGGGAAAGACATGGGCAGAGCTCACATCGGTGACCAGGTCGCCCACTGGCTCGCCGGTAGACGACTTCATCACAGGTCGGGACAATATTTGGGTCTGTCTCCTTTCATTGCATCAACCCTGCAGGAGTCCTTTGCTGGCATGATATACTAAGCCATTTTATCCTAATTGTAACCTAACGCTGCCTGCCCCTTCGGGGATGCTAGTTGAACCTGACGATTTCTTTTCTCCAGCAAAGCACTTACCTACAAATAATGGGCAGAGCTGCATGTGACAGCAAAGGTCAAACCTGGCGTTAGCTGGTTGAAGGATGACACCAACCACTAAGTCATGAAGGGCTATGTAATGCCAGGGTGCCGGGTTCGATCCCAGCTATAGATGATAGATGATTTGCCTTGCACTGGTTTCAACAGTGGTTCCGAGAGCTGACCATTCAGAAAGCAGGGGCAAACTAGTGAATGTAAAATTTGCCTAGAGAAACCACAACAGCCAAAAAAGTGCTGGGGTTGGTTCTGCAATGTCCTGTAAAGGATACACAGCTAACTTAACTATTATTAAAACAGCAATGAAATTATAACATTACAGTGTTTTTATTTTTCTGGTTCTAGCTCTTGTAAGTAATTATCTAAGACACCAAAAGACAATAAATGCATAAAATAATTATGTAGAAGGACTAAAAACAATTTCTCCAAAAAGGAAATTAAATGATATGATACAATCAATCATGCAAAGCCTTGAAAAATATCTTACTAAACTCTACTGAATCAAAAACATCTTCTTCTTCTTTGTGTTTACCAGGGGAAAAACTTGTCGCTGTTTGTCCACTTCTGATGGAGTGGGTGAGGGTGTAGGTCTACTAAATTAGGCCTCAGGACTCACTAAGGGAGCACAGTACAATTAGAATGTCCTTGCACTCAACACCCACAGGGTTTAAGAAACATAAACATGCACACATTAAAACACAAGAGAATTAGTGTATGAGGTGAAAATGATGATATCAAATGTTCCCTGCAGCCTATGTGATAGAGGTCAGGGGTCACACACGAGTCACCCACTACATACTGTGTTTTTTTTTGGGGGGGGGCCCTGGGTAATGCATTCCATTAAATACTTCACTCTGTTCATATTTACTGTTTACTTTCCCCCACCTACCAACACGTGCTCGCGACAAGGTGAGCAGTATGCAATGGCTAAGCATAGGACAATTTGGCACAAGCTGGCTGAGAGCCCATGCTCCACTCGATGATAAAAGACAAAACCAAAAAAAAATTATTGACCACGGGTGTCTTACTTGGATGACCGCAGGGCGGGTTTCCCACAGTCCTCAGCAACTACTCCAAACTTATAATATGGATGCTCTTCATAATCTAGCATTTCGCCCTCTCTGACATGTACTTCTGCAGCTCCGGTGACATTGTTGGTGACCACAACCTCAAAGGGCAGTGGTTTTGTTCTTGGGTGATGCTTGTTGTTTACAATGATGTATTTGCAGATGTACACTGTAAACATAGCAACAAGTCCTGAAGCACATTTTGAAAAAGCAGTGACCTTTGACCCCCATACATTAAAATAAGCTTTTTAATATGGTAAATAAATGTTGCAGCATACTTTTATTAATGTGTTTGGTTTCCCTTTTTAAAATTTGTATACCTCATCACGGCACATATACCCCACAGAAAATCCTTCTCCATCATATTTGGGATTGTGAAGCATGCGCTAGGAACCCCGTAAACTAGAGAGATTAACAAAGCATTTAGAAATTAGAATTATCAAATGTTATGTATACTAAAGTCTATTAAAGCATGATCATCAACATTCTGTTCTGCTGTTTTTGTCACACCGGGTTCACAATCGATTACTTCATTCCATTCTACACGGTGCAATCCCTTTAACACCGTGTAGGGATATCTTTAACAGCCCTCGGACCTTTCTTATTAACGTATGTCAAAGGGTTTCTCTCGGATAGCCTAACTTAATCAATCCAATTTCAGTGCCTGCTCTGTGATTCTTCATCCACTCTATTATGTGTGCCCAATATTTCCTTATTCCTCTTTGTTTTATCCCTGTCGCCTGGTAAACATTTAAAAAATGGGTCACTGAACCTGTGAAAATTCCCATTTGAAAAATCCTATTAAAATAAACACTGTCTATATCTAATTTTTCAGAGTGCAACTCTTATCTGTCGCGAGAAGTACTTATTGTTTGTTTACATATCATTCCATGATATTCTCTGCTGACTGTAGTCTTTTACAGTTTGTCTACACATTTATGAACAAATGTTATGTACACTATACACAAGATATTCAACTTATGGCCTGCAGACCAAATCTTTCCCATGTGTTGTCAACTGTAATGTACTCTGCAAGAAGAGGAACCGAGCACTTATAAACTGAGTGGTTCAATATGCAGTAAGGATGATCTGTCGACTAATTAACACCTACTTCCGTCTCCTGCTGTATCTGCATCAGTAGCTGCCAGTTCTGGTTTCAGCTGGACTACTCTTTCATTCTCATGGATCTCCCCATGAAATGCTGGTAATCCATGGTCCTGCAGCGCGGATTTGATCACCGGCTTTCTAATGTTCATCCCTGAAATGAGTCAAATAAAAACATTTACAAAAACATTCCAGGCTTCGTGATGTTCATCCCCGAAATGAGCCAAATAAAAAAAGTTTACAGAAACATGCCAGGCTGTGCAATGTTCGTCCCTGAAATTAGTCAAATAAACACATATACAGATTCATGCCAGATGCAGAGACAAAGATTCACTTGATAATAATAAAATAACTGCCTACAGTCGATGTTACCAGGGACTGTGAAAGTAATTTTACAATTCCAACAGACTGGGTATGATTCAGCAGCAGGAAATGCAGCAGCAGACCGCTTTACACTATTTTTGATAATGGTATGCTAATTCAGATAGAAATAGTAAATTAGTGAAGATAAATTTACCAAGTAAATCACACAAGTAAACAAATATAAATGCTGGGGGGTGGTTTGCGATCTATCATAAGGGTTGGCAACTATTTCTTAGTCAGGTTTTAAAGGAGCATTGGTGCAAGCCTTGGTATGTGTTATGTAGATGCTAGTATTTGTGGCCTCAGATATTCCATCTATCTATCGCTTATGCGGTTGGCCTCTAGCTCTGCTTCTATTGTGTCTAAGTGGCAAGGCTCTCTGTGTTGCACTACCCTTTCCCAATCACAGAAAAATGAATATGTCCAATCACTGTTCTTCTGAAAGCCATGGTGGCATAGCCATTAGTGAGCCTGCCTGCCTGCTTAGACAATGGCTTGGGTTCACTCCCCAAACGTGGCAACTTATGTTTTTTTCAAATCAGTACAGCTCTTAGGGAAGCTGCAGTGTGTGGCATCAGGTTGTGAATTTTTTTTAATGTTATATCTGGTGGTGTACTGGGTATAAAACTGTTCACTGCCAGAGACAAAGGGTAATCACTCACAACTATAAGGTCATTGTTATTTGACACATACTATCTAATGATTCTGGAGTCTACTTTGGCGCAGGCAAACTCACACACACCATACAATATTGTATTGAAAGATGGAAAAGTGCCAACCCTGTCATCGTTATTACCATCATCATTCACTGCTGCCGCACCACTACTATCACTACATCAGCAGCATCCTCATGCGCAAATCAAATATATGATTTCTGAGGTTCACGCAATTAGTACTGCAATACTGGAGATTAATTACTTTAAAAAAATAAACTGGCAGTCACTTTGAATAATTAACTTTGTCTGACATCTCTGGCAATGTAACATTTAGGTTCATTTCCATTGTCCTATAGAAAAAACACATTAAAACTATGATCCAGATAGAGAAGTTTAATACTATGCAGTCACAACCAATGAAAATAAGACTAGATGATCTGGTACTGGGGCGTCTCAACTGTAGCAGTTTTATCCATTTGGGGAACAGACTTAAAAAAACAGTATCAAGAACATCTACCCGTGAGAACAACAGTGCTGCAACCTATCCTATACCCTGTGCCCTGGGAGCAACTCAGTGACACAACACAGATAATAATTTCATTCAATGGACTCACAGCCGGAGATGAGTCCAATGACCTTCAAAAATGATCAGCTGCTTTTAGTATGATCCAGGAAAACTATCTAAAACAGATGTGGATAGATGCTTACACAGATGGATCAGCAACTAGTGCAGTTAAAAAGGGGGTGCTGGCATCTTTATCAGATACCCAGACAACCACCATCACACAAAGTATATACCAACCCTCTGGTAAATTCTATTCGATTACACAGCAGAGATACTAGCACTAGAGCAGATTGCTGAAATGTTGCACATCAGTTCTGCCACCAAGTGGTTATCTTCACAGATGTTTCAGCGCTCCAAGCCCTCAAGAGTGGTAAACTGCCTGAGCTGAGATGTGAGCATAGCAAAGTGGCTGCCCAAGAGCGTACTGTACTCCAGGTGCCATCTCAATGTGGTATACCACGAAACAAAACCACGGATAAACTTGCTAAGAAAGGGGCAGAATGTGACCAGGAAGAGAACGCAGTAACATACTATGAGAACAAAAGGACCATCCAGTCTATCAGAAGTGAACAGAGTCTGGTCAGAGATGACTACCACTTACTTCACCAGCATGGGCAGGCCATTATTCTACGCCTCAGGACAGGACATAACAAACTTAACAAACATATGCAAAGGCTTCAACTAAGCCCCTATGGGCTGTGTTTAGGGGCTACAGAACATGAATTGCAAGAATGTCCCTTGTACAGCCCATTTAGAAGGGAATTCCTGGCCCACGGAGTCAACATTGTACTCAAAGTTGTTTGGAACTAAAATGGTATGAACCTAAAAACAATCAAATTTATCGCATGAACTTGTCCATCAGTGTAAATCAGAAAGTGAACACAAGAAGAAGAAGGTTCATCTCATCAAACTGCACAAAGCAAAACAAAAATATAAAGCTCCTAAGCTTTGCACAATTATTTACCATAATATTGGGGAATAATTAATTACATTTTTTTAATTAATTGATGGCCATTCTGAATAATAATTCTTTACTAATGCACTGACAATATGACTGTTATGACTGTCTCATCAAACCTGCACAAAACAAAAATATTGTTGCTACGATTTGCACAATTATTTACAATAAAATTAACGACTTTACAAACTGACTGGCTGACACTCTGAAATGTTGATTAGGTCCTAAAATATAATTTAAAAGAAATAATATGACCTGCGTATTTCTATTCACCACTTCCCCCACCCTAAACCTCCCAACAACAAAAAATGGATTCTAAAGCAGGTTTTTTCTTTTTCAGAATATAAAATGATTCCATACTAATCATATTAATGAACAGCTATAGTACAGACTTGAATGAGGTACAACTGGATTTCATTCTTCAAGGGCTCAACCCTTACAGTCCCCAGGAAGGCATCATACATTCAAAGGCTCCTACCTAGAAACCCAATAAAATCATGATCCGCAATTTTATGTCTATCTTTAAGACCCCTTGGGTCTGTGATGCTAAACACTCTGGGACTCAAAGAGTTAACAGAAACTTTAGTGATGATAGCTTTTGTACTTTAGAAACAAAAGTCCCTACAATTTTATTCTACTGTTTTTTTTTTCTCAGCCTTTATTGCTTTCAAACTGTGGGTTGAGTATTCTGACATTCTTGTGACACTGCTATCAGGCTTTCTCATTGATTTAATTATTTTATAAATTATAAAACCACACGGAATTTTGATAATAATACCAGAGCAATGTTTCCCTGTTGTAAATTTAAACAGAGAAGACAAACAATAGACAGCACAATTTATCGCCAGGCATATTTCGCTGTATCTCGTCAGGTGCATACTATAGTAACAATTACATAAATGAAGCAAAATTAATCCTTTATAACTGAAGTACAAATTCGACAACAACCAAATGCAACTGATCTTTTATTAGGGCAGCCGCAGTGTCAGAATCATGTCTTTCTATTCATAAAGTTTAGGACGGAGGTAAGGAATCGTGGCGGCTTCAAGAAATCTTAGCGTTCTGCCATTGGATGATATGTGAAGGATTTTAAGTGTGCTGCCCTTGGTAACAGTGTGTTTAAACAAAAAATTTTGCAATCTAGTGTTTGTGTCTTCTTTGTTAAGATAAAAAAAATTGTTAATTTTAGACTTTATGTTTTTTTTTTAAATTGACAGCCATATTTCATCATCATGTGCCTTTTAAATGGTGTTTATAATTAAGCTTCTCCGCTATATGCCATCCTCAACAGCAGGTATCAGTTCCTGTGCTGCCACCCCTCCGTGTCATGACAGAAGGCTGTCACCATGACATGATAAAAGGCTGCTTAAATCTTCTTGCGTTGTCTTTCTCTTGTCTCTTTTTAAACAGATGTTTCCTTACACGTTCCTGTTTCCTTCTTTTTAAAATATGAGCAAAAATCTATGACTGCCATTTTCTGATGTTAGTGAATGTGATAAGCTGTCTTCAAGTCCTCGCCCCTTTCAAACCATCTGGGTTGCTCCTTTTGGTTGGGCAAGAAATTCTAAGAATTCTCCTTCCGTAAATATAAAACCTAGACCAAATTTACAAGGCCTCAAGAAAATGTGTATGGAAAAGTGAATGCAACCAAGTAAACCGACATTTATTTGTGGTTTACAAAGTCCGCTGATCCCCGCCGAGACAGAAAAGAACAACACGACAGGAAAACATCACTAAGACAACAAGAATAGCAAAAACTGAACCTCTTCTACAGGCTCCATATTTACCTGGTAGCAGTAGCTCTGCATAGATGCACGACGCGATTATGGTTCCCAAATATAAGAACACCAAGCCCGCCATCGTGAAACTAAACACCTGTAATTCAAAGCCTGTTAGGTCTCCTTGAAATCTACAACTAAATCGTCTTTGATTCGCTGGTAAATTCTGGTCTTGCAGCCTTGCTTTCTCAGCACCAGACTCAGCACCTTAAGCAGACAACAAAGATGGCCGTTTCTGTAATGCTAATGATCTCCGTGACGTCATTTAATAAATTTACTTCGGTCATTTTTCTTTGGCGAGGAGGCAGGTTGAGAACAGAATCATTTTCATAAACTGTCGGGTGTGTGTGTTTTTTTTTTTAAACAAATTTCAATCCCCGGTTTTCATTGATTTCTTTAAAATTAAGTCGGTCTGACCAGACAGTCGTTGACAGGTATAATATATAGGCGGAAGTAATTAGCCAACTTGACAGAATGTTTGAAGGAAAACGTTTTTGTTCTCTGTTGAATTATAATAATCTTTGCGATGCGGGAGCGTTTATATTGCTTTTCTTGTTCTTTTGTCAATGTCTGCTTTGTGCCGCTAAACGTCACAGTTCAATAGATGATAAGTAGCCGAGCTAAGGCGCGCTCGGCTGGTTGGTATGGTGTGATGTTGTGAAGTCTTTGGCTGTGACTCCTTAAATACTTATTCTGCTAGGTCTCTATCTATCTATCTATCTATCTATCTATCTATCTATCTATCTATCTATCTATCTATCTATCTATCTATCTATCTATCTATCTATCTATCTATCTATCTATCTATCTATCTATCTATCTATCTATCTATCT